CAATGCAGGAAAATCCCACCCCCTCCCTTTCGAAATAGCCAAACTACCCGCTTGTATTGTTAGCGGTAAAAGTGCCGTTACTCAGAGAGTTGAGAATAGAAACTGGCAAGGGATGTCCAAAACACAGGCGAAACCAATTTTGTTATAGAACATAATATGCTCTTAGGTTTACAATATGCAATAACGACCAAAACCCCTCAAAATATGCATTTGCATATGCACATATGCATTTTCAAAAAATCTGGGCCCTACTCATTACATATCTTCTCAAGATATTCCTTTTTGGGCCTGTCCGTGGCTCTTTTCAATTCATTCCTCAGTCTCCTGTATTTCCTCTTGCCTTCTTCATTGTTTACATTCTTCCATTTCCTTCGCTCCTCCATTTTACTCATCATCTCCTGTGTAACCAATGGTTTTCTTGCTATCTTCTCAACTTTACCAACAAATTCGCTAATAGTATCTAACATGCATTCTTTTATATTGTTCCACTGCACTTCAGCATTTCCGCTTTCACTTTCAGTTGCACTGAGTTTCTCTTCTATGGTCTCCTGCACTCTTTGTCTGTGAGCATATAACTTCTCCAAACCCCATCTAGGTCTGCGCTTTTGGAATTTTTAATTTTCTTCAACCTGGTTTGAAACTTGGCAGCCTGTAAGTTGTGGTCAGAGTCAATATCTGCCCCAGGCAGCGTCTTCACATCCTTCACACTGTTTCTGAATCGATGTTTTACAAGGATGTAGTCCAGTTGATGCCGCCTCCAATCCCCAGGTGCCTTCCATGTGTAAAGTCTTCTCTTTGGCTTCTTGAACCAAGTGTTGGTAACAATCAGTCCATTTCTTTCACAAAAGTCAATAAGCATTTGACCCCTGTGATTCCGTCTTCCTAGTCCATGTGATCCAACAATATTCTGATATGATTCATCTCCAGCAGTGCTATTCCAGTCTCCTAATATGATGCTGTTTGTGTCACCTCTTCCATCTCGTACATCTCCCCTCCTTGGTGGCTCCACCTTATCGTGGTGAGGGGGTTTGAGTATGCCAAGGACCCTGAGAGCTATGCCAGCGGTAGTGTAGCTACTGGCAGGGCCTCCCTTGCTGGACAGGTCAAAGGGTAGGCATCAGAGGAAGACAGACAACAAAAACTGATGTCGGAAGCAGCGTCATTAGCAGCAACTTGAAGCAAAGAGCAAATGATGCTCGAGATGGTTCAAGTTCGTANCGTACATCTCCCCTCCTTGGTGGCTCCACCTTATCGTGGTGAGGGGGTTTGAGTATGCCAAGGACCCTGAGAGCTATGCCAGCGGTAGTGTAGCTACTGGCAGGGCCTCCCTTGCTGGACAGGTCAAAGGGTAGGCATCAGAGGAAGACAGACAACAAAAACTGATGTCGGAAGCAGCGTCATTAGCAGCAACTTGAAGCAAAGAGCAAATGATGCTCGAGATGGTTCAAGTTCGTATAGCAACAGGCGTGACCAGAATGGTTTGAACGGCTGTTGTACTGCGATGTGGAAAGCAAATGGAAAAACTACCATATTGTCACTTTTCCTGGATAGTCTCTTTCCAAAAACAGAGATATCAAGTATGCGAGATGTTTCCTCTGGAGACAAAACAATCCGGAGGTAAACTACTCCCCCTTCTCATCTACTGTCTAAAAATAAAAATTAGAATAAATAGAACTATAATTTTGCTTGTGGTTTTGCATGGGTGTGAAACTTGGTCTCTGACATTATGGGAGGAACATAGACTGAGGGTGTTTGAGAGCAGGGTATTGATGAGAATAATTGGACTGAAGAGAGATAAAATGATAATAGGTTGGAGAAAAGTACATAAAGGGGAACTTCATGACTTGCATTCTTTACCAAGTATAATTAGAACGTTGAAGCAGGGCAGGGGGCAGGGCATGTAGCACAAATTGGGGAGAAGAGGATATTGGTGAGAAAGCCAGAAGGAAAAAGGAACTGGGAAGACCAAGGCATAGGTGGGTGGACAATATTAAAATGGATCTTAGAGAGATATGATAGGATGGTATGTATTGGATTTATCTGGCTGAAGATAGGGACCAGTGGAGGGCTCTTGTGAACATGGCAATAAATCTTTGGGTTCCATAAAATATTGGGAAGTTCTTGAGTAGCTGCACAATTTGCGCCTTCTCAAGAAGGGCTCAGATCCATGAGTGAGCGAGTGAGCCTTATGTCTGAATCCCACTTACTAGACCCCATTTTCTTGCTTATCTTCAAGTAGATTGGGCAGCACTGGACCTACCGAACTTTGGGGTCTCCTAATTTTGGAATCATAATCCAAATGTTTTCTTTCATATGCATGTGAAACTTCGTCTCTCAGCTTAAGGGAAGAACACACAGATTGAGAGTAGGTGAGAACAGGGCACTGAGACTAATATTTGTACCTAAGAGAATATAACTGGAGGTTGGAGGAAAATGCATGATGTGAAGCTACATAATTTATACTCTTCATCAGATACTGCTAAGGTGAACAAATAAAGGATGAGGTGGGTATGGGTGTAGCATGCATATTGGAAGTGAGAAATATGTTCAAAATTTCAATCACAATAGCCAGAAAGGATGAGAATACTTGGGAGAGGTAGGAATAAACGGGAGATTAATATAAAATGGATCTCAGAGAGATGGAATGTGAGTATGTGGACTAAATTAATCTAGCTCAGATAAAGGTAAAATTGGTAGGATGTTGTGAACATGGTAACGAATATTTGGGGTCTATAAAGAGCAAAGAAATTTCTTAACTAGTTGAGCAACTAGTAGTTTGTCAATAAAGAATCTGTTTCACAGAGTCATTTTGTTAGCCTTAAGGTTTGTAACACTGCCATCTTGAAAACTTCATACAAGATATTAAATCTGTGAACTCCTTTAAGTCAAATCCTATATGTAGGTCATGTGCTCAAGCAGGATCCTGTGACTTAAAGAGACAAGTAAATGAATTAGCTGGTTAGTGAGAATGGTTGGTAGTTGACACAAAATTAGTGATATTTCCTCTGGTACCCATGGTATCATTATTAGTCCTACTGTCTGGATTTTGTGTGTCATCTAGTATTCTGAACAGGATACAGTGTTTTGTAAAGTGCATCCATCATCAAAATACAGTCAACTCTCGATTATCCAGGATAATGGTGGGCATGTAAATCACGATTAATTGAAAACCCGGTTAAGACAAATGTTATTAAAAGTAGTACTGTAATACTGTACCTTCATAATACTATAGGCCTACCTGTATTTAAATTTACTCAACCTCATTTTTATGTCATCTCATGGCCTATTTAATACTTTTTTTTTACATTATACTGAAGTGTGAATTAGTTATTTCAATCACAGTGTTCAACAACATCCAACACTTTTTACGAATATTCACATTTAACACTTAAAAAAATTAATATTGTCGTTTGCTTTTTCGCGGCATTTTCCTTTTTACGGATATCCATACGAAGCCTACGTAATATTAGCGTGTCACTTAATAAACTGTTCTCTTCACTCTCAAGATGGTCTAGTAAGGATTCCAAATGATTAAGAGCAGCACCATGTGATATTTTCTTACTAGCAGCACTGTCCACCTCTTCCTCATTCTCACTTTCTTCCCGCTCTTCTGGCTGCACCCCCACTGAACTTAGGGCCCCTATACACACACAGTTTGGCCTCCAGTTCGGCCTGCACAGTTGAAGACTGAAAGGCAAAACTGACCTGTGTGGTGCGGCTGGCCGGCCAATCGTTTGTACTGTTGGCCTGTGGGAAACCCTTCAGTCCGTCAGTTCTACCTGCAGGACCATAGCACGTGACGTGTGTGACTCAGCATTATAGGCTGGAAGACCGTGATCACCGTGATTGTGGCATGAAGCCTGCCGCTTTATCTGCACGTGTATGGGGAGGAAAGGGAGGGGTTAAACTGTCACAATTTTGCCTGTAGGGTCGATCTGAAGACCAAACTGTGTGTGTATGGGGGGCCTTACAGTTTCATCACTGCTTCACCTTTCGAAGCCTGGCTCACACGAGTTTCTGTTGAATACTTAACACAACACGCTTCGTTTTACACCCTGACATTTTGCTAATGCACTTGAAGATCGATACAAAGTTACCAACTGGGGCGGTGTATCTGCCCTTGAAACTTTCCACAAATCCTTGCATTCTTTCACCCCTACCCTAGAACACTGTGTTAGCATAACGGGACCAAAGAATGCAGAGCTCGGTTCACGCTAGTGCGAAAATAGTGTTACAACTCACCATGGGAAACAAAAGTGAATGAATATTAAACAATATATAAGCCTCAAAAAAGCCTCAGTATCCCCGGTTAAGCCGCAAACTGGTTAATACACCCCCGGATAATCAAGAGTTGACTGTACTGAGTTCTGTCTAGAATATTAGACCACAGTTGAAGTCCAGATACCCAGAAACAATAAGAGTAATAACCTTATCAGAACCCTTTAAAAGTGATCATTAATGGCATTTTCCATTTCATATTGAAATGAGCCAAGGAGGAAGTTGAATCTTTTATCATATATTTAGAGAAATATGGTTTGCAGGTATGGACAGTATTCTTGCCCTAGTGAATTAAAATCACCTTTCCAAGGAATATTTTTTGCCATGATCTAGTTTGGCCTGAACTTTCCCTGATTCTAAATTCTGTGCCATTGGTTGTGTATGTGGAGGGGTACTAAAGTGAAGATAGCTTTTGATGTAATTTTCTTATTTCATTTAGCATTGACCGTTTATGTGCAATACTTGCATAATATTGACATGAGATACTATGATTATTTATGAAGTTTTATATATATATATATTATGAAACGTTATTTATGCTTTGATCACTGCCAAAAAATTATGATAGTTTAATTATGATAAATTTTAGTTAAGCTGTTTTTGTATAATATGCATACTCCTAATTTATATGGCATTCAATTTGTTATGGCGGCTCAAATTGTAACACATTACATATGTTGCTGATCAGCAAAAAAATACTATGTGAGGATGCATGGACCCACCTCAGATGTAAGGTCTGTCTGTTCCAAGGGTCCAGACTTCACTTCTGTGACTTTGTAGGTACCATCCTCATCACTGCAGTGATACAGAGTAAGTGTCCCTTGGTCTGCTTCTTCCTGCACATCATCAGCCCCAGCATCTTCAGCAGACTTGACTTTGCGGTTACTCAAGCTGAGATGTGCATTGAACACTGTTCTCTCGCACACAGGCAATGAGTTCTCTTTTCCATCGTCCACAAAGACAATGGAGCTGGCCTTGTGCTCATCCCTGAGTTTTTCGGCCACCTGTCATCATAGGATTTGAGGTTACCCACTCTTATATGACAATCATTTCTTTCCTTATGTAATGTTCCTGCCCTTATTTTATATCTCGGCTCATTGAGTGAGTGAGTGAGTCCTTAGGTTATATAAAAACAAAGTATAAGAGACCTAATGTAACCTGTACGCTGGAAATGAAGCAGATGTGGCATATCCTAACCCTTTCACTGTTAGGGACAAAATGTTCTGTGGAATATGTATAAGTCTATCTGTTATTAGAAGAGAGTACCAGAACATTTTTATTTAGACTGATTTTAGGTAAATTAATAAACCTCTTTTGACTACATAGATTATACATAAATGAGATGAGCTAATCATAAATTGTGAGAAGATAAGAACTTACAAGTAGGTGATATAAGTGTACTATATAAGTGTACTATTCCACCATTCATGTGGGCAGACTAAGAAGAGATATGGATAGTTGGTAGCTTGGGAGAAATCTGAACCAGATGTCTCCTAAGCACAAGGGTACAGCATGGACATTATGTCAATGTATTGTTGCCGTTTCTTGAAAGTCATTTTGCACAAAAAGTGTAAGAATTAAAGGAAAGAAAGTGCAGTGACAAAAAGTATAGAGATGGTTGAATAAAATGGAGTTTTGGCTGATGCGCAGCCAACTAATATTCTTCTTTTAAAAATTCTGAAAAGCTAATCATATTTGCCACATTCAGCCTTAAAATTTATTATTACCTTAATATAGCTTCATTATTTTATAAATGTTTCTAATCTTGCAGGGACATACATAAGAGCACTGAGAGTGTTAAATGAGTAGATTAATATGCAACTGTATATAAAAGATTTTTGGAAGTGGTTTTGGGTTACTCAAAAAAAAGTATTCATAATACTGAAAAGAGTGAAAATTCTACCCTGATGCCAATATGGAGCAAATTTTGCCATGTAACTTCTATCAACACAGGCTTATTCAAACAGTAATCTTGAATTACCTCTGATAGAAGTGTAAGCACAAGACCTTGGCAAGTGCAGAATTCTCTGGAATAAAACTACTTATGAATAGCAACAGGAGACTACAATCCAAACACTTGTTTCACCTTCTAACCTTGCAAGCCTGCAATTTCTCCATATTATTAGCAGACCTGCCAACCCACACAAACACAATTTCCTTTGTGTCAATAATGAACACATCACCACTGTTGAAGTGTTCCCAAGAGATTGGATATTGAGTGACAGTTGGTGAACGCCTGCCCTTGATGTGGAAGAGACGGGGTTCGAACATGTCAGTGACATGGTTGAAACCTGAAGCTGCTCCACCCTTCAGTATTCTGCCAACCAAGATACCAGAAGTTAATGGAATATCAGTTATTTTAATAGGAGGTTCCATCTCACCGCCATTCATAATGGAATTAGATGATATTTATGACCTGCAGTCTACTGCAGTTACTATTAATTTTATTGCTTATGATGATGGTGACAATATCAGTCATAAAGCCAATTTACATGAAGGACCAACTAGAAAGTACATGTAAGCAACATTCACAAACTTTGTTTCTGTGCGAATACACAAGTATGCTAATTTATGTGTGTAATACAAAATCTGTTATAGATTCTAATCTTAAAATTTATCTTTCCATGGGGTTGTAGATGGTCATAAATTCAACTAATGTGTCTTACATTATATGATATTTCAGGTTCTCACAATGTCTACTAAGCAGTGTAAGCTGAGCAAGCAAACAGAACGCAGAATTAAGTCTTACATTCCCCCATAATTTCGGTAAACTTCTGCCAAGCTACTATATGGTGTTACATCCCAGAACAACTTAGAATTAATTAATTATGTTTCTTGTGACAAATTATGTTTGACAGGAATAGTTTGTGAATTAGTGGTAAACTTATATTCTTGTAGAATCTGAGTTTCTCACAGCGGTTTTTATGAAGATTTCTACTTTCTGGGATATAATGTTAGTAACAGACAGAGCACGCTTTGCTTGCTAACTGCTTTATGCTGATTTCATGCTTGGGTTATTCTTCAACTCACAAGATGGAGGTGCCTTCTTCTTCTGAACAGAGGTGGATTTACAGCAGAATACATGGCATTATGTCCCAGAAAAAAGAACTCTTTATAATCTTCTTAGTGTGTTTTCATGAGCCCATACCTCATGCCCATCTTGAAGTATCCCTTAAATCTAGTTGACTCACTGCCCTGTGTCTCACGGTGCTGGATGGGACTGCCCCCCAGGTAGTCATCCAGCTCTACTGTTTTGTATGCTGCTACACCAGCCTCATCATTGGTAGTTTCCTTGCCCAGCCAGAAGTGGATGTGGACCTCAGGAATTCCATGAATCTGCACAGGCTTAGCCAGAACACAAGTCTCATCACAAACAAAATTTTCATATCATGTGATCTGGAAAGTCCTGGGTAAAACTTCCAATTTGATAGGGCTAGTGAAAGCAGTGAAAATTTTTTACCTGTTTTAGTCATATGGGATATTGCACATAATAAAATCTCACTTTCACATGGTACACCCCATTATTACAAATGAGGATCTGGTGAATTATGACAGTATGACCATTACATTCAGTGTGCAGGAAATGCAGCTGTGTAATTTCATTGACCTTATGGCAGTACTCTAATGTGAAAACAATAAATTACTATCTAGTTCATGAACCTGAGTTATGGCACTGTACCATTACTCTTGGTGTACTACCACAACAAATTAAGATACATTTCCTTTGTATACAGTTTTTAAGTTCTGAATTAGATTTTTGTGTGATTTGTTGACACTGCATGTAATCATGCAGTTGAGTCTACTATAAATTGATTAAACAACCATACACATCCTCAAACATAATTGTGTTAGCTGCATAATATCCAAACTTACCTTGGAATCTGCTGCAACAGGTTTCCCATACTCAGATGCAGCATAGACAATGTAGGAGTCCCCCTCAAAGAAATTTCCATACTGATCTTTAGGGACAGGCGCTAACTGCATGTGCTATAACAGAGAGTAGTGTCTGTTGATTCAAAGTGTAGTTTCATACTAACAACCTGTGGAGTTGTATAATGTTGTGATTGTAAATGTTCTACAAGAAGCAAATTTAAGATCAGGAAATTCATGAAGTCAGATCAATCCATGGCATAGTGTTCACAGCATATTTTTAAGATATTCTATTTTGAAAACTCTAATTAAAAGACATCATAAAATGGTACTTCTGAATCATTCTGGTAGGTAAGTTTACACCAGTACTTGGAGGTAATATACATATTCATTTTTATATTTATCCCATTTACCGTTAAACAATCAAAACAAAAAGTGGTCTGTTCATTCATTCATTTCCTTTATTTTTCATATATACATACATATAATAAACATAGGGTGTGGAAATGGTCCCTTCAAAAATAGATATATCAAAATACACATACAAAATTACATGAGTCACATAATTAAAATCACTTAGATTAATTGATTAACATAAATAATAATATAAAGTAAAAAATGTAATAAGATTTTAAATAATAAACAATTTAAAAATAACTTACTATAAAACTTGAATTAATACAATTTTATTTAAATTACCTATATTAACTGAATTCAATACATTACAAATTTACACACTTATGACCAATTATGTTGATAATATTCATTCATGGAATAATTTACACAGCTAAAGACTACTATAATTTAAAAATAAAATTGGATGTTGTTTTTAATCACATATTTACATGGTTTCAAAATAATAAATTTGTGTTAAATCTGGATAAAACAAGAATAACAAAATTCACCCCAACAGCAGCTACGAGCTACCCTCTATGTTTATACAATGTTTTTTAACAAAAAGCTGAAAGAAGTAGAAACGATAAAATTTCTCGGTTTGCTGCTGGACAGTCATCTGACTTGTAAGGGACATGTTGATTTTTTGCTTCACAAATTGAGCACAGTTGGTTTTCTAATGCAAAAATTATCCTATATATTATATATAAATAGTCTTAAAGCTGTATGTTATGCATATTATCATTCATTTATGAAATACGGAATAATATACTGGGGAAATACATCAGACAGTCATAAGGTCTTCGTTATACAAAAGAAAATAATAATAAGAATAATGATGGGAGTGGGGCCAACTCATACATGTAGAGATTTATTTAAAAAGCTTGGGGTACTACCACTCCCATGTGTATATTTGCTCTCACTGATGACATTTGTTGTTAATAATTTGGATAAGTTTCAAACTAGTAACTCTGTATATGAGATTGGTACCAGAAGGAATGACCACCTTCATTTACCTTCAACACATTTATCATCCTATCAGAGAGGGGTGTATTATTCAGGCGTCAAGCTATTTAGGTTTGAAGAAAGCAGTCTTCTGGGATTTGGCACCGTGTATATGTGGTGTTAACCGACGTTTCGGAGGAACGTATCGCCTCCATCTTCAGGGTAGAAGAAAAAAATATATAAGAATCTGCAAGCAAAGAGACTGTGAGAACCGGTAAAAGCAGACTGCTTNACTTGTAAGGGACATGTTGATTTTTTGCTTCACAAATTGAGCACAGTTGGTTTTCTAATGCAAAAATTATCCTATATATTATATATAAATAGTCTTAAAGCTGTATGTTATGCATATTATCATTCATTTATGAAATACGGAATAATATACTNGGTTTGTTTTACGAAATTATTTGCGAAGTAATGTATTTTACTCTATTGATGAATTTGTCAAGCATGCAAGGGGCTCAGAAGTTAGGAGTTAATAAATGGTCTGTGTGCGTGAATTATACATTGTTAAGACTTCCTTGTTGTTAGTGTAGTAGTTTGTATGATGTCTGTTTTTGTTATGAATTTTAATATTTTATAATATAACTGTTTGGATGATATGGCCTGCCAGTGTGTGTGGAATGGCAAGGTGTGGATTTGACAGTGGTTTTTCCACGACCTATGTGTGTTGTCCTGACAACTTGAGCTATCTGTGTGAGGCCTGATTATATATTTTATTGGACCAAGGAAGAATGATGTGTAGTCATCATGAATTTTGTAATATGTGACATGTTTTATATGCAGCCCTAGGGGGAGATGATTGGATCCATGAAGTGAAAAATAAATGTAAATATAAATGTAAATGTAAAGAATGATGATATAAGAACTTCTTCGATGCAGATTTAAAACTGCTCCCATCAGTAGCCAACATTTTTATTGTTTGAGGAAGATGATTAAAAACTTTAATACCTGATACGTATGCACCTTTATTGTATTTTGTTAGGTTAACTGCAGGTAAATATAAATTATTGAGGGCTCTAGTTTTGTATTTGTGAATTTCATTGTTAAAATTAAATAAATGTTTATTATTAATTATGTATAAAAGTAATGAATATATGTACTGAGAGTAGAACATCATTACAGTCAACTCTCGACTATCCGGGATAATGGTGGGTATGTAAATCACGATTAATCGAAAGACAGATGTTATTAAAAGTAGTACTGTAATAGTGTACCTTCATAATACAATAGGCCTACCTGTATTTAAATTTACTCAACCTCATTTTTATGTCATCTCATGGCCTATTTAATACTTTTTTTACATTACACTGAAGTGTGAATTAGTTATTTCAATCACAGTGTTCAACAACATCCAACACTTTTTACGAATATTCACATTTAACACTTAAAAAAATTAATATTGTCGTTTGCTTTTTCGCGGCATTTTCCTTTTTACGGATATCCATACGAAGCCTACGTAATATTAGCTTGTCACTTAATAAACTGTTCTCTTCACTCTCAAGATGGTCTAGTAAGGATTCCAAATGATTAAGAGCAGCACCATGTGATATTTTCTTACTAGCAGCACTGTCCACCTCTTCCTCATTCTCACTTTCTTCCCGCTCTTCTGGCTGCACCCCCACTGAACTTAGGGCCCCTATACACACACAGTTTGGCCTCCAGTTCGGCCTGCACAGTTGAAGACTGAAAGGCAAAACTGACCTGTGTGGTGCGGCTGGCCGGCCAATCGTTTGTACTGTTGGCCTGTGGGAAACCCTTCAGTCCGTCAGTTCTACCTGCAGGACCATAGCACGTGACGTGTGTGACTCAGCATTATAGGCTGGAAGACCGTGATCACCGTGATTGTGGCATGAAGCCTGCCGCTTTATCTGCACGTGTATGGGGAGGAAAGGGAGGGGTTAAACTGTCACAATTTTGCCTGTAGGGTCGATCTGAAGACCAAACTGTGTGTGTATGGGGGGCCTTACAGTTTCATCACTGCTTAACATTTCGAAGCCCGGCTCACACGAGTTTCTGTTGAATACTTAACACAACACGCTTCCTTTTACACCTTGAAATTTTGCTAACACACTTGAAGATCGATACAAAGAGACCAACTGGGGCGGTGTATCTCTCCTTGAAACTTTCCACAAATCCTTGCATTCTTTCACCCCTACCCTAGAACACTGTGTTAGCATAACGGGACAAAAGAATGCAGAGCTCGGTTCACACTAGTGCTAAAATAGTGTTACAACTCACCATGTGAAACAAAAGTGAATTAATATTAAAGAACATATAAGCCTCAAAAAAGTCTCAGTAGCCCCGGTTAAGCCACAAACCGGTTAATACACCCCCGGATAATCGAGAGTTGACTGTATTTCCAGATTCTTAAAAATGTCCCTACAAGACTCTCTTGGTCTAGAATTTGTTATAATTCTAATAACTTTCAAAGTTTAACTTATTAGTGTCAGTTACTATAGAATATAATATAATAAATATTGTGGCATGCCAGAAAGTAGGAATGAGATCATAACTGAGTTCCTAGGCAAAGATCAACGTTCTCACGACAGCGGCTAGGAAGCAGAATTCTTAACAGTGGAGTTTCCACAGTTACACACAATTGTTGAAGCAACATTAAATAGCAGTGAGTGGAATCAACCCTTTGAGATGATATTCCCTGTCGAGTCTGCGTGGAAGTTATAAGAGTCCAACTGCATCAGAGAGGGCGCCCACAAAAAACAAAACCGTAACTGTCAAACAATAATAAAGATCTGGTCGCAAGCCCCAGACGTGTGCTTTATGCCAAGACAGACTGGCTGAATGACTGTTGGCCGTAAAATGAGACTCAGACTCAGATGAGTTCAGTCTTGTAGTTGACCTTAGAAGAGTAGTCAATCTACAGTTTGGCTTCGACTATAGCAGAAGCAGTAATTTTGATACTGAAATTATGAATAATTTTACTTGTAAAAGTATAATTTAGCGAGACTTTTATAGTTCCCGTGTTATACATCCATTGTCAGGGAGCAGATAGTGAAGGTTAGTGAAAAGAGACTGAGAAGATTAGTGTGGAGTGATTGTAAATTGTGTAAATCAGCAAAAGTGTAATTATTATTTGTAGTGATGACCTGTAGGTTGTTAATAAATCGAATTACCAATTCAAACCCACGTCTCAGTCACCCAAACACGTGACAATATATTTTTATATACTGTGCTACTTCTGAGAAACCATGTAAGAAAACAGAGCAACCTAATTATATATAATGTATTAAAGTACAGTAAACCCCCGCTAATCTTGACTGATTGTGGGGGATCACCCGGATTAACCTATAATCTGGATTAATGTAGCAAAAGATATCCTCAGAGACAAAAGGCTTAGAAAAAATAAATGGAGAATTTAATAATAAAATAATAATGAAAATAATAAAAAAAAATCATTGAAGCAATTTCTTCCTCTGTCATAAGCTAAAATCAAGGGTCTCCTTGATCCAACTCAAGCCAATTTTGAATATTTTTTTGCGTGGTTTCAGACTTTCCAGCTGCCTTCAACATAGTCTGGAAGTCCTCTTGCTCTAACCCCATTTGGTCTTTAATCTTATGTATCTCTTAAAGTCTGTATTCAACTGTGAACAGAATGATTCATTTTTTATATTTTGATCTGGATTATGTGACATCCAGATCAACTGTAATGAGATTAACTAGGATTTACTGTATCTATCAATTTAGGAAGGACTATCACTAAA